AGTGGCTGCTTTTCTATGGGCATGCCAGGTTGGTGCACGGCAGCTTTGCAAAATTTTGTGTCTTTCTGTGTGATACCTGGTTCATTGTTTAGGTAATTGTGAGGTGGTTGCTGGTTCTGTGAGCTTCCTGGCACTGTCCTTTATAATTTCCTACAATGCCTTGATGGTTTTTATTCCAGTGGCTTTGTCTTTTCTTAGGGGAAAAAAACTGGTTTCATCTGCAGTCTTTGCAAGGTCCCCCCACTCGGTCACATGGCCGGCATAGGTTCATGCTAAGCTGCCATAGCTCCTTCCGGCTGCTAGATCCCAAAACATTAAGGTAGACTGCTGCTCGACTTGGAGGTTCCCTAAATGGGTGACCTCAGGAAACCCATCTCCTGTGCAATTTTTCAAGACTCTTTTGAAAGCCGGGTAACTGTCAACTGTTAGGCATACTTACACCCAGGAGTAAGTCTGCTATCGAGGCACACCACAGAGTAAGTAAAGGTAGTAAAATGAAACATTGCAGGCGATTGGGAGAGCAATGCACCCATTGAATGTTTGGTCTAGTAGGGGTTAAGGCACCAGGCTGGAAAGCAGGAGATTCAAATCCTGCCTCAGCTATGAAAACCCACTGGGTGACTTTGGACCAATCATCAGGACCTGTGTTCTCCTACCCAAGCTTTAAATCTTTTTTGGATTGAACTCAGTTCCCAGGATTATCTCTTGTTTTCTTGGCAACAATGGGGAAACCATGCTGTTTCCTTCTAGGATTAAAAAAAACTTTTCTCATGCTACATGATGGCCCTGAGATTTCCTTGTGGCCTCTCATCCAAGTCCTAACTAGGTCCAATCTTGGTCAACCCTAACCCTTCCAGCCCTATGAGATTCTGTGCTTCCTGCTCAGGGGTGGGTTCCTGCCAATTCTAACCTCTTCTATAAAAGATGTTCCACAAATCTACCATGCTGTTTAGAACCAGTTCCAGTTCCCTCCCCCTGCCCGTCCGCAGCATGTTTGCCCCGCCCGCCGCTCACTTATTGGCTGGCTCACCAATCGCCGTGCCCGCCTCTAAGAGTCCTATCTAAACCTTAAAGTCTTAAAGCTGTCAAGTTTGAACATCCCTGGGGCTTTTTCCTAAAAGGTTAGGGGTGCAAGGNCCACTCCCATCCGGTCACATGGGTGGCAAGCCACTCCCATCCGGTCACATGGGTGGCAAGCCACTCCCACAAAGGAGGCCACGCCCAAAGAGTAGGTTTGAACAATTTTTGAAACCCACCCCTGAAGAGGCAGCAGCAAACTTATCCTGAGGGCGCTTTTATCGTGGCTGGGGATTTTAATCAAGCCAGTCTAAAGTCTGTTCTCTCTAGGTTTGTGCAGTATGTGCAGTGTACCATCAGAGGTAAGAATACTCTAGACCATATGTACTCAAACTTAAGACAGGCATATAGAGCAATCCCCCTCTCCCATCTGGGTTCGTCTGACCACATCTCTCTTTACTGTGCCCAAAGTATATCCCCTTAGGAAAAGTATATGACTAGTCTTGAAAACTGTCAAAATCTGGCCGGAGGGAGCACTCTGTCAGTTGCAGGACTGCTTTGAGACTACAGAGTGGAGTATATTTTAACATTTGAGATGTCAATGCTGTTTCAATTATTTTAAGAATATGCTTTACTTTCTGCTCTACATTATTATTTGTGCTGTATGTACTCCTATGTTTATAGCCAGAATGATTTTTTAAAAAAACAATTAAAATATAATTATTTTTTGCTAGAGGACAAATGCGTAACTATATATCAAGCCCATCATTGATCTACATTACAATAAAACTATTTTTAAAAGTGTATACAGGCTCATTCACGATCACTGTTAGATAATGTTAGTTTTGGAAACAAATAATGAAAGGACTACTTACATCAAGGTCCATTTAGTTTGGTTTAACATAATTCTTGATTACTAGGTCTTTAAGTAGTACTTTCTTGAATTAAGCTAAGTGTAAATTATTAAATAAATTACTTATTAAAGACATAGTAGCAAGGGGAAGTCCTTTTGTAGTTGGAATATGAACTAAGATGGTTCATAAGGCAGTGGATTTTACATTGGGGTAATTACTCTCCAATGGGATATATTTTGGCATATCTTGGGGAAAATGGGGCAATTTGAAATAACATGTTTGTGAATTGAGTATCCAGTTTGGAATTGCCACTGTCAAAGTGCTTGTGTAAAACAGCAGAATCTATTTTTTGGTGGAAATAATGACATTATTTGAGACCAGGAAAAGGGATATCTGGATCAAACAGCCACTGTCATAAGGCATAAATTGCTTTGTAATAAATGGGAGTCACTTAAAACCTAGTCCCTGGTATTGGGCATAATGATTATGGTACACAGAGGTTTAATGCTGTATCTATCTGAAGTGTCATATGGAATCACATCAATGAATTGTGGTTCACTTGGTTCTAATTGATTCTGCTGATTCTGTAATGCTAAAGCTTTCTTGTATAGACTAGTGTACTTGTATATTAGTATGCCGTTTTGCCTGAAGATTTCTGCACAATGGAAAGGTTTTCAAACAATACTACGATTGGACCTTCTAGGAAAAAATATTACTTCTTTTGCCTTGCTTACCTTAACAGGGTGTAGGTAGCCATCCCCCCTCAGGGTTCCCAAGCTCTTGCCAGGCAATTCTTCTTCATCCTGCAAGCTGCGGGTGAGATGGGCAATGTAGGTGGTGGCTAGAAGCAATACATCCAACTTGGAGAGCTTAGTGTCAGGTGGCACAGAGGGCAGAGTTCTCTGTAACTCCAAGAAGGCATGTCGTAGGGTCTGCACTCGGCTACGCTCTCGTGCAGCGTTGGCTGCTGCAGGTCTCCCCAAAGTTGCCCCAGTCTGTTGTCCTAAGGAGTTAGCGCCAGATGTGGAGGGTGGCGGAGAGGCATTTGAGCTTGGAACATTGACCTTGATGTTCTCGGGTACATTTTTATAGTCCATTGGTAAGACCAAACCTGCAACCAACATGATATAAATTCCCAGCTTATACCCTGAATTGTCACAACCACATTTTCTTTTTTAGAACTGTATTGCTATCTGATTTCTAAGAACTTTCTGTTACAATTTTCAGTATACTGCAATATATTCTCTTAATTCTCTCTCTCTCTCCCCTTTGCCAGCAACCACTAACCTTGCAGTTTTATTTTTAAGATAGGAGAATTCAGCTGAAAAATCATCAGCACATAGTTCTAACAACGGATTTACAATTCTAATGCATTCTCAGAAAATAACGAGCACATTTAAACACTATATTAGGACATATTTTAAGCATCTTAACTTGAAATATATTTGGCGCCAACATTTATTATCTTTCAGAAGTGAATCCCAGTGAATTTGACTTATTATCTAGCAGAAACTATTAGTGTTGAAATGTTAATAAAGTGTTCAGATAAAAGTAGGAAATCACGCTGAGCACAGCTCCTAATTACTTTATAAATATATAAAGTACATTTCTTTATAGTAATGTGGAAGTGATTTTCTTCCTGGATTTTTAGATATTTTTTATGCATTTCTTTTTACTTCTCAGTAGTCCCCAAACTACAAACTGGGATTTTCTGATGGTTCTACACATAAATACTAAAGAGATCCAATCCCATCCATTTATTTAAATGATTATTTAAGCTTAAATGCTTCTACCACACTAAAATAAACAAATAAATATGCAAAAATATAAGCCTCAATTGTGAACTCATTTATTGAACTGCTTTCCTCTTTGGTACTGATACATGTTGACTTTAAAAGATAAAAGATTAAATAGATTTGGAATATCATTTGCAATTATTTTAAAAATGAGTGCTTATGCAGCTTGCAAACCATAAAGTACATTGAATCTAATTTGTGTTTGCATTCAGTAAATCTTATATTTATTGAGGACTGTATTCACCTGGACTGTGCCTTATAAATTATAATCTATCTCTACAGTTTTCAACAGTGGTTTTTATTAGCAAAACTAGCAAGCAATTAATAAAAGCACATTAAATTTGTGTGCTGCCCAACTATTTTATTTAACTTTAATAAAATGATTTTTCTCAGTTACAGACTTTTCCATTCAACTGAAACTACTTTTCTGAAACCAAGCAATGGAGGAGATGAGACACAAAGGAGTAAAAAGACCGTAGGATTGGAAATAACTGCACTCTAAGAGGTTTTTCCTGGTCAGCTTGAGAACTGCCTCAATTTCAGTTTCAAGTTTCTAAATTTAAAATGGATTGTTGAATAATAAATTATATTAAACATAATACTGGTAGATTTTTCTTGAGTTAACATAAATGGTTGCCCTACAGTTATGCCTTTTGTAAAGGCCTAATAGGTTTTCAAATGTATCCAATTATTTTTTGTTTTAAAATATTTATTAGCATAATTACTCAATAGTTTGGATTTAAAGTGTTAGTATTTAACATTTAGCTTATTAAAACTACAAATTAAAATTATGTTATAATTGAGTTGTTTTACTGCAAAAGATTGAATATAAATAATACAATTGATGGAGTTTGTCAATTAAAGCTGCATTTGTACAGGTCAATGAATTTGTTGGATGTTTAGAATCCCTCTATACAGTATATGGATTTATTTATTTAGTATTCATTCATATACTAGGAAAGAAAACTTTTGGTGTAGAACACTATTCTACATATTTATCTGAATTGCACAGATGGAAAATATTTCTGGGTCTTATATCCACATACATGTTTAACACATGAACAATCAGACTAAATAATCCCTATAACATTGGCATCTCAATTCAAACCGTCAGACCAGTGGGGGAAATCCCACCTATTTGAAAGCCATATACAGTATCTAAGTTCACACTACTTTATTCGCAGTCCTATTTTACTCAGAATTTCTGGATGTATTTTTAAAAATTAAGATTATACGTATTTACAGGCACACTTGTAACCATATAACGGTCATCGGACGCATTTAAACCTACTGTACTTGTGAAGTAAATCATCAGAGTAACCACAACTCATATTAGCGCTCCTCGTTACGGATTACAGAGGCTAAATAAATCCTTTAAAATAATTTGGATTGTCTTTTGCACCGGGGAGTATTGCAAAGCTTAAAACCTGTTCTCTAAGATTGCCTTGCTTGCACAGTATTTTTTTTAAAGATATTGAAATAGAAACAATTCAAAGAGGAATAGCAGGATACGAGCGAATAAACGGTAGTTACTCGGAAATAAAGTTCAGGAAAATGAGAGACTTTCAATTCAAACTGCTTTGAGGATCTTTTAATTCCTCAAAGGCACGACCTATCGTAAACCTGTCGGCAAGACCAAATGCGTACCCAAAGAGCGCGTGGGAGCCCTGCGAGAGTATTAAAAAGTTGACTCAGTAAGAACTTACTTGATCTCCTGGGGGCTCCGATCAGGGAGACAGGGCGCCGCCACTCTCCCGTTGCAGATTTAATCCAGGACGGGTGTGGGGAAGCCCTGGGCTTTTATAAGGGTTGGGGAGCGCGCCCATCAGCGCTCGGCTTTTGCTGACGCCTCCCCCCGCCCCGGGTTTTGTCGCCCTCTGCCCTTTCTGGCAGGCTGTCTCGCCTGCGGGGAATCGAGCCTGGTGCACGCGAGAGCGAGAGTGTCTCTCGCAAAGCCGCAACGGGTGCGTCCCAGTCTTCGTTCGCGCTCCGTCCTCCGAGATCCAGCCGCCACTTCGCGCCTTCGAATGACTTACCAGGTTGCAGATCCACGCAATTTTCCTGGCGTCGTGAAACCCCACTGGTTTCCCATTGCTTTTCCAACTGAGAGGCTTATTAGTCTGGCCTTCAGTTAGCCCACTGCCCAGGTCGACAAAAAGAAGAGCCTCGCAGCATCTCGCAAAAAGTGTGAAATATTAAGAACTCCTTCCTAAGCAACACGGGTTAGAATGGGGCAAAGACCCACTCGGGCACCTTTGGAATCTCTTAGCCAACCTAATTACCAACCTGTTGTAATATGAGGCTTAGGTGTACTATGCACCATTGCATATTAGCAAGAAATAAATAGAAATAAGAATGTTTTTTTATAAATGATAAATGTATAATATGAAAATAATAGATAGATAACCATTCCATAAAGGGTTTCTCTGGCAGTTGTTGAATCCAGATGTGTGTTAAAATACTTAACATCTGGGCAGTAGAATAAGCAGGCACATAAGTCACTTCACATAACCTCTGTATTGAGGAAAACTGGATTGTTTTAATATTAGTCATGATTTTTAAATTACATTTTTACATACTATTGTAAAAATGTGCCATTAGGAAGGCCTATGAACCTTTCCACAAATGCATAGATCATCATAGATACTCTCATATTGAAGCCAGAGATCTCTGCTTTGTAAATCAAGACAGTTGTCCATCTAATATATATGTTGGACTTCAATACTCACAATCTGATCAGCATCTATTCTGTTTGAAGATTATGAATGCTCATAGCTAATACGTCTGGAGGATAGTAGCTTAGGAAAAGCTAAATTAAATACACTTCTTTATGAATGGCATAACACAACATTTGTGAAAGTTTTTAGCTGGCTAATCTTTTTCATTTCCTCTGAATACCAATAAAAAAGTTTGGGGATTTTGCTTCTCTCTCCCTCCAAAGATGAATATATGTGCAGAAAATAATTAATTAGAATTAGAATTCCAAATACCTACTTGTCTTTGAAGACACAAGATTGTACAACTGCAATTCATTGGATTTTCAGTAATTGAACTTACATATTTTTCACACTATCTTAAGACAGAGAGCATATGGATTAACATTCCTATTCCATTAACTACATTTATTGAGCAGCATTTGTTCCTAATTATAATTGCAATTATAATCAGTTGAAACAAAACCACAGAATCTCTGCTCCTGCTGGTTGGGTGATGTAGCAGTGATTATTGCTGCAATGTAATAGCAGCTTTAAGCATGTAGAAGACAAAGCAAAAAGATTTCATTGTAGAATAAAGTAGTGGCAGCAAAAAGAATTTAGATTTATCAAGCATTAATTAAATTGGCTTCCCCGAAAGTTTTGAAAACTTAGCATGTGTTCCACTTCATTTCTGTCTTCACAAAGCCCTTGGTACAGTGAAAAAAATGCAATGGGTCCCCTCATGCAGGACTTAGCAGCAGCAATACATTTTCAGGCATGTTGCCAAGGTTCAATCGTAGGTGAAGGAGTACCATTTTACAATAAACACTGAATTGACTGACAAAAGTCTCTTCTATGAGCATTGCATTGGAGCCTCTCTGGCATGAACAAACACTTTGCATTATAATAGAAGAAGGTATGTCAACACAATTGGGGAGGGAGAAAGATACATAATTATGAGTCAATAGACTCTGTATTTAACATATCTTCCAGTGTTAAAGCAGCCTCATAACCAACTTAAGTCTTATAATAAGGACTGTAAGAAGACTAGCTTCTTCAGCACAACAGGTAGCAGCATTAGCACACATGGTGAATCTTGTAAAAGCATCTTATTGGAACAGAGATCTTCAGGAAATCCTTGACATAAGATGAAAAGTTAAAAAAAAAAAGCCAATGGCAAATCATGTTGATATTGTTGTCAGGATAATATGTGATGCTATCTATACCTAATATACAATATTTTTTCTTCTCTGGATAAAGCTTATATTGAAATTCCATGCTGTAGTGTAATACAACTTCACAGAATTGATATACAGGTGTCTATTTCAATAAAAAATATTTCTTCTTTAAAAAAATGATAAGGTAGACATGAAGGCATGTAGCATTATACCTCAAGGAAGTATTATACCTCAGATTATAAATTAAAATAATAAATTAAAAATTAAAAACTAATAATAAATTAATAGTATTGGGGGAGATTTGTAAGGTTTTTGACTATTATGGCATGAAGTAATGGGGAATTACATAAAAGTAGTAACTTGTATTTTGACCACTACATGGATTGTTTCTGGACTTCCGGTTGGCAAAATAAATCACTTCAGGAAAAAAAATAGAGTTTAAACTCTGAACACA